GCACATTTTCCTTTGCTCTGGGACCTTGCAAGCAAAGCCTTGTGCTTTGCAAGGTTTTGTGACCATGAGACAGAAACCACAACGTATCAGAAGGACCCTGAACCCTGAACACTCTGCATCTCAAGGCATGCCGTGATCCAGTAACATGTGAATCTGTGTGTCGTGTCGTGCCCCCCTCTCCCGTCGCCAGCCATCAGTGCAGCCTTCCACTGCCCCAGGGTGGCTTGTACCATGGGCTTTTGCATTGCCCATAGTCTTTGATTCTGTTGTGTGACCCATCTCCTGCTTTGTGTTAGCCTTCTCCAGAAGTCTGGCCTTGTGGCTCTAATTTGTAAAAGACTACTTCCTCAAATTAATTAACTTTATGTGTGTGGTCATCTGTGAATTTTTTTGTGGGGGAGGGGGTGAGCTCCTGAACTTCCGCATGTGCATGTATGTGGAGGCCAGGAATTGACCTTGAGTGTTGTTCCTCAAAAGCCATCCACTTTGTGTTCTGAGACAAGGTCCCTCACTACCCTGGAACTCACCAAGCAGGCTAGGCAGCTGGCCATAGAGTGCCAGGAATCCCCCTGTCTCCACCCCTTTGGTGCTGGGATGACAAGTGTGTGCCACTGTGTCTAGTTTTTATTTTTTATTAATTTATTTTTTATGTGGGTTCTGGGACTCAAACTCAGAGTCTCATTCATGGAAGGCAAGCACTTTACTAAGGGAGTCATTCCGTGACTCTCCCGTTCTCAGCTTTATTAATCACGCTTTCTCAAATCTCCTGGTGCCTGTAGTGAAGGCTTCTCCCGGGTTGATTTCCATTGCTCAATGTGCCTTGTCTCCCCTACTGTCTCCAGATAAATTTGTCACATGGTTTCTGTCCCCTGAGGCACCTACTCACTTTCTCCTTTCTGCATCATGCTCCACGCCAGGCTCCCATTCCAGACTTCCTGGCCACAGCCATTCTTCTGGGAAAAATTTTGTTCCTCCCTGTACCATTGCCTGAGGCACCAAGGGGGACTTTTTTGCATGAATTCTGTGTCCTTGCCCAAGCAAGCCTTTCATCTAGTAGCTTTGCTCCTGGGGACCTCGGCAAGATTGATTGCACTTCCTGAAAAGCCCTGCAACACCCCCTGCCTGCCTTACTGTTGTGGTTTGAACTTGAAATGTCCCCCACAAGGCTCATGTGCCAGACACTTGGTCCACAGCACTGTTTGGGAAGTAGAGCCTTGCTGGAGGAGGAGGTGGGTTACTGTGGATGGGCCTTGAGCTTGTACACTCTGGCCACAGTACCTATCTGCTCTCTAGTTCCTGTCCCACGAGATAGGAGGTGGGGAATCCCAGTTGTACACATGTCACCTGTTGCCATGCGTGTCCTAGCATGAAGGACTGTAACCCTCAAACTGTGAGCCAAAGTAAGCCCTCTCTGTGGGAAGTCATTTCCTGTTAGGTATCTGGTCACAGCAACCCTCAAAGTAGCTGATAGGCAGCTCCCACACGGTGCAGACTGCATTGGAGCACTGAGCTGACAGTGATCTCCACCAGGCAACTGTCGTGTGTGTGTGTGTGTGTGTGTGTGTGTGTGTGTGTGTGTGTGTGT